ATGGAGATCAACAAAATGAAGGCGTGGCGGAGGTGTGTCTACAGATACTCCATATTCTGACTTTGACTTAAGTCCCTCATAATTCCACCACCTTTACGCTCGAGGAAACCATGAATAAGGTTGAGTGAACCTACCGGTTCCAAGTGGGAAAGTTGGTAGAGCATGGTGCTTGCAACGCCAGGGTTGTGGGTTCGTTTCCCACGGGGGCCAGTATGAAAAATGTATGCACTCACTAACTGTAAGTCGCTCTGGATAAGAGCATCTGCTAAATGACTAAAATGTAAAAAAATAAAAAATGGAAAAGCATTTACTTTATTTTTTCTGATTAGAAATAACAGCATTCTCCATGCACTGTAATTTATAAATTGATAAGAGCTATTAATAAGAGCTAGGTAAATTAGTCATTCGTTTGGAGAAGGGGATTGTAAATACACATAGCAATTGTTTTAGATTAAGTTTTCTTATGATCCATGGAGACGAATATTAAACCAGTCATATGGAAGCAAATCGTATCAACATGACATGTATTGCGGCCCCTTTTCCACAGTGAAGGAGGCTCTAAATAGCTGTGCCATTAAGAATTTTAATTGTATACCCTCATCATTTGCGTGGATGAAATATGGAGACCCAAGCTATAGGCTTATGTAGGTCCGAATCTGCCGAGTTGATGTATGCGCTTTAGAATGTTTAAATTATATGCCCGGCCTTTTCTCAGTTTAATTTTACAATGTGTATCATGTTAATTAGACATTATCGGGAACCACCATCAGTAACCCACATACCTTTATAACTGTCACTTTAGTGTTCGTTTCCTTCAATTTGTAGCCTACATTTTGCATAATTCCATTCAATTCCATTTACCACCCATACACAAAAAAATGTATGCACGCATGACTGTAAGTCGCTTTGGATAAAAGCGTCTGCTAAATGGCATATTATTATTAACCTTTTTTTCCTCTGTAATGTCCGTGTAGTAGTTCCTGAGTGACGCTAGCATTAGTGGATCATATTAGGCTAACGTTGGGACATGTAGCCTATTTGAATCATTATGGAACGCAGACCACACATAGCAGTTTAAACCTGGAGCCTGGCGCACGGTTCACAACGACTGGACCGTTGTCATACAGTTCCATGATTAGTGAGGATTAGTGTAGATTTATAGGACTATTATTCAACCCCTATTGTACACTTTTTCCCCCATGGATTGAACTTGAATATGGCAACATTCAGGATGAACCAAACCATTGTATTTTTCATTCCTCAATATATTTTGTGCGTAAAGGCTCTCCAAAACAGTTTTTATGATTCATACATACTTTCCTAACCCTAATATTTGCCTAAGTAATCTACAAGATGAGTATTTTTAAATCTACCAATTAGTGCTGAAATGGAGACGAATATGCATATATTTAGATGGCTTTCTTTCATTGATCACTATATTCTGAACACGTTTTCTCGACGTATTCTAGTGAGTGTCAATATAATTCTAATTAAAAGGTACACCGTATTTAAAGGGATGGCTTAAAATAAATGTACTGAAAACCCTACTGAATGAAAACTCCACAAAAATCTGTTGGACAGCTAGTGGGAGGGTTTTCAGTGGTTGAATTACATTTATTCAGTGCTTGAAAGGTAGACACACCTGTAGAGCGCATTACGCACCTGCATTAGGTAAGTCTGAATACCAACTACTGAGAAGTGCGTAGGAAAGGCGTACATTTCCTACATCTGAATCGGGCCCTTAGTCATCAACTGTATCAATCTATTCAAACTACAGCACACAGACTATTGATCAACCTAGCAGATTTTCCTTGCTTTGGTCTTTATTTTGCTAGTTGTAGGTATTGGAATGTTCTATCGTTTTTACCCTCTTGCCATTTAGGTTGTTGCTCACCAAATATATTTCTCTCCAATGGTGCGCTATTTAAAAGATCATGGCGAGTTTGAAATAGAAGACGGGACCATTATTCTTCTGAAGAAAAACAGTCAGGTATGTTCAAAACCCATAATCTTACATTACATGTGAAAACCATCACTATATACACTGAACAAAAATATAAATGCAACATGCAACAATTTCAGAGTTACAGTTCATGTAAGGAAATCAGTCAATTGAAATAAAGAAATTAGGCCCTAATCTATGGATTTCACATGACTGGGAATACAGATATGCATCTGTTGGTCACAGATGCAATAAAAAAGGTAAGGGCATGGATCAGAAAACCAGTCAATATCTGATGTGACTACCATTAGCCTCATGCAGCTCGACACATCTCCTTCGCATAGAGTTGATCAGGCTGTTGATTGTGGCCTGAGGAATGTTGTCCCACTCCTCTTCAATGGCTGTGCGAAGTGTATGGATATTGGCGAGAACTGGAACACGCTGTTGTACACGTCGATCCAGAGCATCCCAAACATGTTCAATGGGTGACATGTCTGGTGAGTATGCAGGCCATGGAAGAACTGGGACATTTTCAGCTTCCAGGAATTGTGTATTAATCTTTGCGACATTATCATTCTGAAACATGAGGTGATGGCGGCAGATGAGTGGCACGACAATGGGCCTCAGGATCTCATCACGGTATCTCTGTGCATTCAAATTGCCATTGATAATAAATGCAATTATGTTCGTTGTCCGTAGCTTATGCCTGCCCAAACCATAACCCCACTGCCACCGTTGGGCATTGTGTTTACAATGTTGACATTAGCCAGTGTTGGAAAAAGTACCCAATTGTTATACCTCAGTAAAAGTAAAGATACCTTCATAGAAAATGACTCAAGTTAAAGTGAAAGTCACCCAGTAAAATCCTACTTGAGTAAAAGTCTAAAGGTATTTGGTTTTAAATATATTAAAGTATCAAAAGTAAATGTAATTGCTAAAATATAAATGTCAAATTCATTATATTAAGCAAACGGCACCATTTTCTTGTTTTTTATTTATTTACGGATAGCCAGGAGCACGCTCCAACACTCAGACATCATTTACAAACTAAGCATGTGTTTAGTGAGTCCGCCAGATCAGAGGCAGGGATGTTCTCTTGATAAGTGTGAGAATTAGACTATTTTCCTGTCCTGCTAAGCATTCAAAATGTAACGAGTACTTTTGGGTGCCAGGTAAAATGTATGGAGTAAAAAGTACAAAATATTATTTAGGAATGTAGTGAAATAAAAGTAGTCAAAAATATAAATAGTAAAGTACAGATACCCCCCAAAAACGACTTAAGTAAAACTACTTAAGTACTTCACACAACTGACATTAGCAAACCCACACAACGCCATACACGCTGTCTGCCTTCTGCCCAGTACAGTTGAAACCGTGATTAATCCGTGAAGAGCACACTTCTCCAGCGTGCCAGTGGCCATCGAAGGTGAGCATATGCCCACTGAAGTCGGTTACAACGCCGAACTGCAGTCAGGTCAAGACCCTGGTGAGGATGACGAGCACGAAGATGAGCTTCCCTGAGATGGTTTCTGACAGTGTGCAGAAACTCTGTTTCATCAGCTGTTCGGGTGGCTGATCTCAGACGATCCCGCAGGTGAAGAAGCCAGATGTGGAGGTCCTGGGCTGGCATGGTTACACATGGTCTGCAGTTGTGAGGCCGGTTGGATGTACTGCCAAATTCTCTAAAACAACGTTGGAGGCGGCTTATGGTAGAGAAATTAACAAATTCTCTGGCTACAGCTCTGATGGACATTCCTGCAGTCAGCATGCCAACTGCACGCCCACTCAAAACAGAGAGACATTTGTGGCATTGTGTTGTTACAGAACTGCACATTTTAGTGGCCTTTTAGTCCACAGCACAAGGTGCACCTGTGTAATGATCATGCTGTTTAATCCGTTTCTTGATATGCCACATCTGTGAGGTGGATGGATTATCTTGGCAAAGGAGAAATGCTCACTAACAAGGATGTAAACAAACTTGTGCACAAAATAAGATTTTTGTGCATATGCACATTTCTGGGAACTTATTTCAGCTCATGAAACAACACTTTAAATTTTGCGTTTATATTTTTGTTCTGTGTATATGTGTTTTGTAAGGCAATGAACATGATTAACTCTCAAACTCAACTGCTCGGTCTCCACAGCACTTTCTACCACAATGGCTGGAGGACATGTATTACATGGTCAGGTTTGTTTTACATTGATTGTGTAGTGCATGACAAATCCACAGCTTGCATGTTAGTGTTTTTACAATAATTAAAATAATTTAGGAATCAAAAGGTTGACTGTACAGCAGTGCATCAGGATAGAAAATTGTGCAGATTTTATGAAAGGCCATGTGTATCAAAACTTTACATTTGTAAATACTGTACTGTGCTTTTGATTGATACTCTAAAATACCACAAATAATACTTTTAAAATAAAGTAGCTAAAACCTTTCTTTGATTAATCTTGTGTGATTAAATGAGGTTTCAGCCTTTAGCTTACAGTACCGTTCATCTCAGACAGACCAAAACATAAACTTAAAAGTTAAGTACCTTAATGGAGTGTGTTTGGTGATCAAACTGGAATGTTATTTACACATTAAAACATCTAATTGACTCTCAGACCTACCAACACAGCATGATGCTGGAGGATAGTCTGTTCGTTATCTTCTAGTAACCTAACAGACTACATGTCTCTACAGAGACAGAATACTTCATATAAACTTCTGATTGAACTTCACAAAAAAAGGGTCTCGCGTTAACCTCAATATAATTAAAATAAAAAAATATATTTTATATACACAAAAACACAAGTCATGCATATTACCCTGGTATCTGAAAACACTTAAGACTTTCTGTTCCACTTACCCACAACCTGTGCTAATTGTGTGCAGTTACACAGTGATTTTGTTATAGATCGTACAGAATCATATTGTGGACCACTTGCCACATTAAGCATAAACATGTAATTGGGATGGTCATCCCTATACTAAGGTTAAGGGAAGGAAACTAAGGTGTTTCCCAAATGTCAATGTATTTTGGGGAGTAGCATTGTTCTGAGTAGTAGGGAACTCCTACGCAGAGAGGGAGGCAGGGGTGATTTTACGAAGGAGCTTGTTGAGGGCTGTAATCTTCTCCTCTAATATGAAGTTATTTTTCTCAGCACTCTTCTGCCGCTGCTCAGTGACCTGCAGTGCCTTCATCAGCTGGGAGTTCTCCACATACAGGTCCTTTAGCATGATGTCCGACTTGGCATTCTTCGCCAGCTGTGGGAGGGAAAGGGACACAATTAATTAGTCCGATTTTCAGGACATGTTTCTCTGACTCTGCTGTGTCTCATATGAACGGTAAACTGACCTGCTCCTTCAGCTGGTTCACTTTCTCCTGCAGCACCATGTGCACACTCCTCAGCTTGGTTTCCACCTCCTCCATCCTCTCCTGCATGTCCCCCATCACCTTCTCATATTGCTCCTGAGCACCAACAGAGAGAGAGAGAGAGCATTTAGACCATGTCAACATCATACACATTTCCTGTGGTGCAGTAAAGTACCTGCTGCAGGCCCATCTGGGTGCTGGCCTGCTGGGCCTGTATGCGGAGGGTCTGCTCCAGCTGCTGCCCCCTGTGCCGCTCCTCTGCCAGCTGGGCCTGGAGGTGTGTCAGCTGCTCCCTAGACCCCAGTTCTGCCTGCTCCCTCAACCGCTGCAGCTGCTGGGCATGCTGGGCCTGGGCCAGGGTCAAGGATGTGTCTGCCCTCAGTGCCTGCATCAAATAAACAGTGTGTTTGAGCATCGACTACATTGTAGTCAGACTTGCATCCCAAACTATTCTTGCTCAAACTGATCCCCTCAAACATGCTGATAGACTCAATAGGACATAGGAATGGAGTTTGGAATTTCCATGAAAGGAATTAGCCTAAACTTTCACAAGCCTGAGAGGGAGGATTAGTGCAAACTTAGACCATGGTGTTAGTTGCTAAATTTGAGTTTAAATTGGCAAACCTGCTTTCAATTTAGAGATTTGGTGCCTCAGCAAATGTAATTGATCAATGATTTGACCAAAATGTGTGGCTTATCACCTGGTCCTGTGCCTCCGCCCAAGCAGTCTCCAGTTGTGCCTGTTTGCTCTTCAGAGTCAGGCACTCCTGGGTCAGACTCTGTACCTCCACGTCCTGGCCCTGCAGCTGACACACCTGAAGGAAACAAAGCACAACAACCGTGAACTTCAACCTACATTTCAGAAAGACTATCAAAGACACTGGTAACCAATGTTCCCTCAAATGTTTGGGGGCACTGAGCAAATTTGAGGTCTTGTCAACGGAAACTTGAACGTGGTGAGAATGTTGTGCAACTTCCGGCGCACATTTATAGTGAACACTGAGGCTGTACCCCTAAAGTTTTCGACAGTAGCCAATAGGCATAATGTAGGCCTACCAACAAAACAAAATGGAGCAAATCCCATAACATTTTCACAAAGAAATAGCTTTTGATTTATATGATATAGCCTACAGTAGCCTATATGTGGTGTTCCATGCAGGCCTACATTGCATGAGACTTTAAAAAAAGCTTGACATTAATTAATGATTTTATTCTTGGTCTTTAACGCCATGGGCCACATAGGTGACTGTAAATTGCATTGTATGATGCTAGAAACAGAGAATACGGAGAATTAGACATGCAGAGGGCTAGCCTACATATTGGCTTATTGCCCCTTTTCATAAAGACAAAAGCTTTTTACCTGACTGGCTTTTCAAAGACAGCTTGAAATGTAGCCTACACATTTTGTGCTCTTGTAGGAAGCAGTAACTCCCCAATGCTGACCTATACGCATCTATAACTGGGCTAATAACTCACTAACTAGCAAAGAATATCAACAAATGTGCACACGCGCGGCTCTGAACTGATCTGAAAAGCACATTCACTCGCGGGGGATTGAAAGACAGCTTGTGGGCTACCCCCAACAATAGAATTCTACTCTGTTGCGCTCTGGCTCTGCCTACAACAAAATCAGACTAATTTGTTTCGGTTTGTTGCATTGAAAAGGGGCTTATATAGTGTTGATTTGATCACAGAAAAAAATGATCTATATAGTGAAAATTAATGGGGCGATCTCAGTGAAGTTCATGATCTTGCGTCTCTGTGCGGCCTGGCAATTCTTCTGCGCGGCAGTCCTGGAGGAGGTGCGTGGCCGCGCGCAGCTTCGAGGGAACATTGCTGGTAACTATCCCAAGATACACCACCGGTGTTGTTTCCAATTGGGAGAAAATGAAGCATAGTGGGCGGAAGAAGCAAGGAGGTGGAAAGCCAAGCATGAGCTAGCAAGATCTTATTGGTGCGTTCTAGCATGCATTTGCATATTTACATTAGGGAAAGCCTACTCTGAAGTGCGCGTGTGCAATAACTCAATTCGCCCTTGCATTCCTTCTAAACAATGTCATTTGTTTTACTTTTAGAAATGGTAAAGTCTACAAAACTTGGTGCACTCTTATTAACAGATTCTAGTTTTGGGAGCAGAAATGTATTGAGATCGAATGTTTCATCAATGAGATTTGCAGAATGTTGGCCTAAGTTTCATCTAGCTCCATGTTCTCCCACTGGACTTCCTCTCAATCACCATATTTGGTGGTGAGAAGAAGTGCTAAACGGATGCTTCAGATTTATACATCGGGTGAGACATCTGTCTCCTATCTGTTCTACTATGTTAACTTATTGCCCATCACATCAACTGCCTCAGTGTTATATGTTGTTGAGCAAGGAAGAACAATATCTTTAGGAGCAGGTGACATAGTCCTACCTTGTGGAGCAGCTCCTGGTTTTGGAGGCGCAGGCTCTGGCACTCCTCCTGTAGGGCCATGGTGGCCTCCTCCTCATGATGTTTCTGGGCCAGACACAGCTGCTCCTTATCCCTACTCAGCCTGCCCATGCTGGCCTCCAGCTCCTTTACCTGATGATCAGCACACAACAATGAAGTCAGTCAAAGCACTGTTGTATCAATACTCTATATTAAAGAGCAAATTCAGGAGCAGCAAAAAGTGAGCAGACATTTCCAATGTTTTCATCGTCAGTATGTCACCCACCTTGTCCTGGGCATCCTGCAGCATCCTCTGGTGGTTGGCAACTTCCTGGGCCTGGCCAGTCTTCTCCTGACCCACAGCCTGGAGCTTGGAACGAAGCAGCTCTGTCTGGGAGTCCATGGAGCGAAGAGAATCCTGGAGCTTCTCAACCTGTAAACAAACATAATTCATACATAGGTCAGAGGAAACCTAGCATTTAGTACCTGGAAGATGACAATTCCCCCCCCAACAAAGATGCTATAGCCAAGTAGATCCTTCTCTCACTATATGGGTCCTCCCCTCCACCTCCCTCAGCAGCCTCTCCTTATCCTGCTCCAGCCACTGGTGTTTCAGGGTCAGGCTGGTCAGCGAGGACTCCACCTCTGTCAAACGCTGGAGCTAAGAACAAACAAGACATTCAAGAACCAAGGTACATTAATAAGTTAATAAGTTAGAAGATTAATAAAAAATGCTGAACAATAAATTCTTACATTCTCTACAATTTAGACCAAACTTAGTATCGAGATCAGGGATGGGTAACTTTGATGGGGGAACTCAAACGGGTGGAGGCAAATGTTTGCAGTTTTTAATATGATAACTGAGTTGAAGCACCGTCGGCAGCGATTACTGCCTTGAGTCTTCTTGGGTATGACGCTACAAGCTTGACACACCTGTATTTGGGAAGTTTCTCCCATTCTTCTCTGCAGATCCTCTCGAGCTCTGTCAGGTTGGATGGGGAGCATCGCTACACAGATATTTTCAGGTCTCTCCAGAGATGTTCGATCGGGTTCAAGTCCGGGCTCTGGCTGGGCCACTCAAGGATTCAGAGACTTGTCCTGAAGCCACTCCTGCATTGTCTTGGCTGTGTGCTTAGGGTTGTTGTCCTGTTGGAAGGTGAACCATCGCCCCAGTCTGAGGTCCGGAGCGCTCTGGAGCAGGTTTTCATCAAGGAACTCTCTGTCCTTTGCTCCGTTCATCATTCCCTCGATCCTGACTAGTCTCCCAGTCCCTGTTGCTAAAAAAACATCCCCACAGCATGATGCTCCCACCTCCTAAAGGCCTGATTGGTGGAGTGCTGCAGAGATGGTTGTCCTTCTGGACAACTTTGGAGTGCTGTCAGTGACCATCGGGTTCTTGGTCACCTCCCTGACCAAGGCCCTTCTACCCCGATTGCTCAGTTTGGCAGAGCGGCCAGCTCTAGGAAAAGTCTTGGTGGTTCAAAACTTCTTCCATAAGAATGATGGTGGCCACTGTGTTCTTGGGGACCTTCAATGCTGCAGAATGTTTTGGTACCCTTCCCCAGATCTGTGCCTTGACACAATCCTGTCTCTGATCTCTACGGACAATTCCTTTGACCTCATGGCTTGGTTTTTGCTCTGACATGCACTGTCAACTGTGGGACCTTATATAAACAGGTGTGTGCCTTTCCAAATCCAATCAATTGAATTTACCCCAGGTGGACTCCAATCAAGTTGTAGAAACATCTCAAGGATGATCAATGGAAACAGGATGCACCTGAGCTCAATTTCGAGTATCATAGCAAAGGGTCTGAATACTTACGTAAATAAGGTATCTGTTTTGTATTTTTAATACATTTGCTAACATTTCTATAAACCTGTTTTCTCTTTGTCATTATGGGGTATTGTGTGTAGATTGATAAGGGGAAAAAAAACATTTTAATCAATTTTAGAATAAGGTTGTAACATAACAAAATGCGGAAAAGGTCAAGGGATCTGAATACTTTCCGAATGCACTGTATGTATGTATGTACAGTTGAAGTCGGAAGTTTACATACACCTTAGCCAAATACATTTAAACTCAGTTTTTCACAGTTGCTGACATTTAATCCTAGTAAACATTCCCTCTCTTAGGTCAGTTAGGATCACCACTTTATTTTAAGAATGTGAAATGTCAGAATAATAGTAGAGAGAATTATTTATTTCAGTTTTTATTTCTTTCATCACATTCCCAGTGGGTCAGAAGTTTACATACACTCAATTAGTATTTGGTAGCATTGCCTTTAAAATTGTTTAACTTGGGTCAAACGTTTCGGGTAGCCTTCCACAAGCTTCCCACAATAAGTTGGGTGAATTTTGGCCCATTCCTCCTGACAGAGCTGGTGTAACTGAGTCAGGTTTGTAGGCCTCCTTGCTCGCACACACCTTTTCAGTTCTGCCCGCAAATTTTCTATAGGATTGAGGTCAGGGCTTTGTGATGGCCACTCCAATACATTGACTTTGTTGTCCTTAAGCCATTTTGCCACAACTTTAGAAGTATGCTTGAGGTCATTGTCCATTTGGAAGACCCATTTGCGACCAAGCTTTAACTTCCTGACTGATGTCTTGAGATGTTGCTTCAATATATCCACATCATTTTTCTTCCTCATGATGCCATCTACTTTGTGAAGCGCACCAGTCCCTCCTGCAGCAAAGCACCCCCACAGCATGATGCTGCCACCCCCGTGCTTCACGGTTGGGATGGTGTTCTTCGGCTTGCAAGCATCCCCCTTTTTCCTCCAAACATAACAATGGTCATTATGGCCAAACAGCTCTATTTGTGTTTCATCAGACCAGAGGAAATTTTCCAAAAAGTACAATCTTTGTCCCCATGTGCAGTTGCAAACCGTAGTCTGGCTTTTTTATGGCGGTTTTGGAGCAGTGGCTTCTTCCTTGCTGAGCGGCCTTTCAGGTTATGTCGATATAGGACTCATTTTACTGTGGATATAGATCCTTTTGTACCTGTTTCCTCCAGCATCTCCACAAGGTCCTTTGATTTTGTTCTGGGATTGATTTGTACTTTTCACACCAAAGTACCTTCATCTCTAGGAGACAGAACGTGTCTCCTTCCTGAGCGGTATGACGGCTGTGTGGTCCCATGGTGTTTATACTTGCGTACTATTGTTTGTACAGATGAACGTGGTACCTTCAGGTGTTTGGAAATTGCTCCCAATGATGAACCAGACTTGTGGAGGTCTACCATTTATTTTTCTGAGGTATTGGCTGATTTCTTTTGATTTTCCCATGATGTCAAGCAAAGAGGCACTGAGTTTGAAGGTAGGCCTTGAAATACATCCACAGGTACACCTCCAATTGACTCAAATTATGTCAATTAGCCTATCAGAAGCTTCTAAACCCATGACATCATTTTCTGGAATTTTCCAAGCTGTTTAAAGGCACAGTCAATTTAGTGTATGTAAATTTCTGACCCACTGGAATTGTGATACAGTGAATTATAAGTGAAATAATCTGTCTGTAAAGAATTCTTGGAAAAATGACTTGCGTCATGCACAAAGTAGATGTCCTAACCGACTTGCCAAAACTATAGTTTGTTAACAAGACATTTGTGGAGTGGTTGAAAAATGACTTTTAATGACTCCAACCTAAGTGTATGTAAACCTCCGACTTCAACTGTATGTATGTATGTATGTATGTATGTATGTACGTACAGTGAGGGAAAAAAGTATTTGATCCCCTGCTGATTTTGTACGTTTGCCCACTGACAAAGAAATGATCAGTCTATAATTTTAATGCTAGGTTTATTTGAACAGTGAGAGACAGAATAACAACAAAAAAATCCAGAAAAACACATGTCAAAAATGTTATAAATTGATTGGCATTTTAATGAGGGAAATAAGTATTTGACCCCCTCTCAATCAGAAAGATTTATGGCTCCCAGGTGTCTTTTATACAGGTAACGAGCTGAGATTAGGAGCACACTCTTAAAGGGAGTGCTCCTAATCTCAACTTGTTACCTGTATAAAAGACACCTGTCCACAGAAGCAATCAATCAATCAGATTCCAAACTCTCCACCATGGCCAAGACCAAATAGCTCACCAAGGATGTCAGGGACAAGATTCTAGACCTACACAAGGCTGGAATGGGCTACAAGACCATCGCCAAGCAGCTTGGTGAGAAGGTGACAACAGTTGGTGCGATTATTTGCAAATGGAAGAAACACAAAATAACTGTCAATCTCCCTCTGCCTGGGGCTCCATGCAAGATCTCACCTCGTGGAGTTGCAATGATCATGATAACGGTGAGGAAACAGTCCAGAACTACACAGGAGGATCTTGTCAATGATCTCAAGGCAGCTGGGACCATAGTCACCAAGAAAACAATTGGAAACACACTATGCCGTGAAGGACTGAAATCCTGCAGCGCCCGCAAGGTCCCCCTGCTCAAGAAAGCACATGTACAGGGCCGTCTGAAGTTTGCCAATGAACATCTGAATGATTCAGAGGAGAATTGGGTGAAAGTGTTGTGGTCAGATGAGACCAAAATCGAGCTCTTTGGCATCAACTCAACTTGCTGTGTTTGGAGGAGGAAGAATGCTGCCTATGACCCCAAGAACACCATCCCCACCGTCAAACATGGAGGTGGAAACATGCTAAGGGTGTGTTTTTCTGCTAAGGGGACAGGACAACTTCACTGCATCAAAGGGACGATGGACGGGGCCATGTACCGTCAAATCTTGGGTGAGAACCTCCTTCCCTCAGCCAGGGCATTGAAAATGGGTCATGGATGGGTATTCCAGCATGACAATGACCCAAAACACACGGCCAAGGCAACAAAGGAGTGGCTCAAGAAGAAGCACATTAAGGTCCTGGAGTGGCCTAGCCAGTCTCCAGACCTTAATCCCATAGAAAATCTGTGGAGGGAGCTGAAGGTTCAAGTTGCCAAACGTCAGCCTCGAAACCTTAATGCCTTGGAGAAGATCTGCAAAGAGGAGTGGGACAAAATCCCTCCTGAGATGTGTGCAAACCTGGTGGCCAACTACAAGAAACGTCTGACCTCTGATTGCCAACAAGGGTTTTGCCACCAAGTACTAAGTCATGTTTTGCAGAGGGGTCAAATAGTTATTTCCCTCATTAAAATGCAAATCAATTCATAACATTTTTGACATGCGTTTTTCTGGATTTTTTTGTTGTTATTCTGTCTCTCACTGTTCAAATAAACCTACCATTAAAATTATAGACTGATCATGTCTTTGTCAGTGGGAAAACGTACAAAATCAGCAGGGGATCAAACTTTTTTCCCTCACGCATTAAGAAGGAAAGAAATTCCACAAATTAACTTTTAACAAGGCACACCTATTAATTGAAATGCATTCCAGATGACTACCTCATGAAGCTGGTTGAGAGAATGCCAAGAGTGCACAAATCTGTCATCAAAACAAAGGGTGGCTACTTTGAAGAATCTAAAATCTAAAACATATTTGGATTTGTTTAACACTTTTTTGGTTACTACATGATTCCATATGTGTTATTTCATATATTTGATGTCTTCACTATTATTCTACAATGTAGAAAATAGTACAAATAAAGAAAAACCCTGGAATGAGTAGGTGTGTCCAAACTTTGACTGGTACATTATATATCATTTTGTACATTTCTATTATCGTCATTTTTTAAAAATTGTATTTTTATTTTATTTTGTCCGCGGGCCTACAGAGGGGGGGGGGGGGTGTCGCAGGCCCATCCCTGATCTAGGGGAACTCTAATACCACAACTGTCCCAAAGGTCCCCTTACAGTGGGGGAAAAAAGTATTTAGTCAGCCACCAATTGTGCATGTTCTCCCACTTAAAAAGATGAGAGAGGCCTGTAATTTTCATCATAGGTACACGTCAACTATGACAGACAAATTGGGATTTTTTTTCCCAGCAAATCACATTGTAGGATTTTTAATGAATTTATTTGCAAATTATGGTGGATAATAAGTATTTGGTCAAATACAAACAAGCAAGATTTCTGGCTCTCACAGACCTGTAACTTCTTCTTTAAGAGGCTCCTCTGTCCTCCACTCGTTACCTGTATTAATGGCACCTGTTTGAACTTGTTATCAGTATAAAATACACCTGTCCACAACCTCAAACAGTCACACTCCAAACTCCACTATGGCCAAGACCAAAGAGCTGTCAAAGGACACCAGAAACAAAATTGTAGACCTGCACCAGGCTGGGAAGACTGAATCTGCAATAGGTAAGCAGCTTGGTTTGAAGAAATCAACTGTGGGAGCAATTATTAGGAAATGGAAGACATACAAGACCACTGATAATCTCCCTCGATCTGGGGATCCATGCAAGATCTCACCCCGTGGGGTCAAAATGATCACAAGAACGGTGAGCAAAAATCCCAGAACCACACGGGGGGACCTAGTGAATGACCTGCAGAGAGCTGGGACCAAAGTAACAAAGCCTACCATTAGTAACACACTACGCCGCCAGGGACTCAAATCCTGCAGTGCCAGACGTGTCCCCCTGCTTAAGCCAGTACATGTTCAGGCCCGTCTGAAGTTTGCTAGAGTACATTTGGATGATCCAGAAGAGGATTGAGAGAATGTCATATGGTCAGATTAAACCAAAATAGAACCTTTTGGTAAAAACTCAACTCGTCGTGTTTGGAGGACAAAGAATGCTGAGTTGCATCCAAAGAACACCATACCTACTGTGAAGCATGGGGGTGGAAACATCATGCTTTGGGGCTGTTTTTCTGCAAAGGGACCAGGACGACTGATCCGTGTAATGGAAAGAATGGGGCCATGTGAGATTTAGAGTGAAAACCTCCTTCCATCAGCAAGGGCATTGAAGATGAAACGTGGCTGGGTCTTTCAGCATGACAATGATCCCAAACACACCGCCCGGGCAACGAAGGAGTGGCTTCGTAAGAAGCATTTCAAGGTCCTGGAGTGGCCTAGCCAGTCTCCAGATCTCAACCCCATAGAAAATCTTTGGAGGGAGTTGAAAGTCCGTGTTCCCCAGCGACAGCCCCAAAACATCACTACTCTAGAGGAGATCTGCATGGAGGAATGGGCCAAAATACCAGCAACAGTGTGTGAAAACCTTGTGAAGACTTACAGAAAACATTTGACCTGTGTCATTGCCAATAAAGGGTATATAACAAAGTATTGAGAAACTTTTGTTATTGACCAAATACTTATTTTCCACCATAATTTGCAAATAAATTCATAAAAAATCCTACAATGTGATTTTCTGGAGAAAAAATTTTCCCTCATTTTTTTCCCTCATTTTGTCTGTCATAGTTGACGTGTACCTATGATGAAAATTACAGGCCTCTCTCATCTTTTTAAGTGGGAGAACATGCACAATTGGTGGCTGACTAAATACTTTTTTCCCCCACTGTATATACCTTTTCCTTGGTGGTGTTGAGCTCTCTCTCCAGCAGCTCCTTGTCATGCTGCCAGGCTGCCTGCAGGTGGAGCCTCTCCCTCTCCTGCTGGGTGGAGGTCTCCTGGAGCTGCCTGGCTGCGGCCAACCCCTCCTCCTGCTCCCGGGACACCTGCGCCAGCCGCTCCGTCAGCATCTGGACTGCCCCCTGGTCGGCACGGAGACGGGAGCTCAACTCAGCGTTCTCGTCGCTCAGCTGCAGGTTGCGGGCGCTCATGTTCAGGACCTCCTCGCGGTATTTGGCGTTCTGAGAGTGAGGGGATCAAGGAAGGGCTCATCAGACTGGGTCTTGGGTCATTGAGAATGTTCATGTGTCCATTGATCAAATGTAGGCTATGAAAATCTATAAGGCTAAAAGGGTCAGTTAAACTATGCAGGGTTATTATGGTAAAATGGAAAAAAACATTTAAACAAACCTCTTTGCAATGTCTCTCCTGCTCCTCCCTGTTCTTCTCATGTTCCCGCTCCACTTCGTACAGTTTCTTTCTGATGGAATCAAAGATGGAAAGGAATGGTTAATAGCTGTGTAGACAGGATAAAGCTTAAATAAGACATTTGTAAACCCTATCTGAATTGAGCATTTTCTCACAGCAACATTACTGATGGAGCAACTTACTTCTTCATGATGATCTCCACCTCAAGTCTCTGGACATCCTGCTCTAACATGGCCAATCTGTCCTTCAGTGCACTGTTCTCACAGTTGACCTTGTCTAGCTGAGACCTAGAGTTGAAATAGTTGAGATATGATGAGTTTCTCCTCAAATGCATTTTAATCTGGCAGATATTTCAACAGAATATGTTTCTGGGGAATAATTTCATTGAAGCATTTACTATTTCAAGCTAACATTTGAGTTCCAGATAAAACTCTGGGTGAAATCAATGCACTTATGTGATGAAGCAAAATGGACACAGGATTAGACGGGCAAACATTCAATGATACAAATGTTATTTTTCAAACAAATGAAATCTACTAGCATGCACATCTAGGTTGAAAACCATTCCGTTAGAGACACTGTAAATTGTTAATGCATTCCAGACCATTCAAATTTCAAAAGTTTGATGTTGGAGCACAGCCTGCTAAGGTGTAGAAAAGGTTACAGACAGAAGGTTTCTGAGGAGAAAAGGTGAGGATCTCTTTCAGATGAGAGCTGGGCGGTTGCAATTAGTCATTCAAATCTCAGCCTCCATGTTTGGGGCAGAAAACATTACAATCAGGCAGGTGAAGGTTAGTCGTTCGAAGATTGGTTTGATTTGATTTCTGGCAACCGGCCTGCCTGCACAAACCTGTGTGGACTGGCAGGGTCCATCACCATCTCCAGAGCCATGACCAGCTTCTCCATCTCCACCAGCTGCTCCTTCATTCTGCCCTTCTCCCACTCAAAGGCCTCCTCCAACCTGTGGACCTCTGCCTGAGAGGACAGCAGAGCCTGCTGGAGTTGGACAGTGCTGCTGCTGCCAGCCTTTCCTCTGAGGGAGCACAGCTCGCTCTCCTTGGTCTCCAGCTGGGCATTCAGCAGCTCCTCTTCCCTAGAGTGCTTATTAGACAGGGCTTCCGCTATCTCTAACAGACCTGCCGTCTGCTTCATATCTGACTCAAGGTGGTCTACCTCTGTGGATTTGGCCTCTAGCTGGGTCCTGAGATTAGAAACCAGGTTGGACGTTTCGCTCAGTTGGGCTTTCAGTTCTTGGATGTGGTCTCGGAGTTTGGATGATTCAGTTTCCATTTCTACGATCTGGTTGGAGAGTTGGTCTACCAGGCGGATGTAGTGGGCGTTCTCCTGGCTCAGACTGCCAGTCTCTTCCCTCTCCAGGTCCAGGGTGGATTGGATCTGCGTGACCTTGGTTCGTTCCTGCCTCAAGGCATCCTGTAGACTCTCCTTAGCTCTTTTCCATTGGTCTAACTCCTCAGTGACACAGTCAAGATCTGACTTTAGACGGTCAATGGTTGTCATGTGTTTTCTCAGCTCCTCCATCAGTTTTACTCGGTCCGTCTTTAGGGAGTCCAGCTCAGCAGTCTGCCTTGAGCATCGTTCAACTTCGATTCTCAGAGCCTCCTGTGCCCTCTCCAACTCCCCCCTCAGGGTATCCGTGTCTTCCTTTTTGGCCCTCAGCTGAACTTGCGGTTGTATGAAAGCGCTGGACCGACAGCTGCAATTCTCTGCCACCATTTCTTTGTCCTGAAGAAGTGTCTCAGATTCAGACCGTAGAATATGCAGCTCCTCTCTTAGCTGAGACAACTCACTGAGGAGCACCCTCTCTCTATTCCTCACCAACCCCAGCTCCTCTACAGCATGCTGTTCAGAGGTCAGGCGCTCGGTCAAAGCCTCATGAAACTCCAGAGATGCAGTGCTTTCCTCCAGCTGGGCACAAACCACCTCCAGCCTGGCCTCCAGTTGACTGCACTGTCCGCAAGTCTCTTCCAGTTCAGCCTCTAACTGACTGTGCTGTATATGTGACTCTGAGGCCAGATCTGCCTGCTCCTGCAGACTGGCTATGTGCTCCCTCAGCTGCTGGACTTCCTCCTGGTGCTCCTCCTCCAGCCTCTTCCTTTCCACAGCGGCCCGGCTGCAGATCCTGGCCTGCTCCTCACTCGCCCTCTCTGTGCTGTGGAGCCTCTCCCTGTGCCTCTCCTGCTCCAGTTCCTGCAGCCACTCACAGTGTAGCTGGTGCATGAGGCTGTACTGGGCCTTGTCTTGCTGTGTCTTCATCTGAGACACCTGCTGCTCTGCTTCTTCCCTGATTACATAGCACAGACTGTTCACTTAGGCACACACACACACACACACACACACACACACACACACTGTACACACACTCACATTGTACACCATTCCCAGTTCACACACACCATTGTTTTGTAAATCCAGCGTATGTGTTACGGAGTTAAAGGGATGAAGTTGTAGGGATTACGGTTGGCACAAGAAATGTTGAATGAGAAACAGGTCGCCAACCTATACAACAATGTGAACTTGAAATGAATTGAGTTGAATTACAAAATACAGACCTGGGGAGTAAGATAGGTTGGCCACACCCACCTTACAAGCAGCACTTCCTGGTCCATTCTGAGCTTCAGCTCAGCCTCCAGCTGGTCTTTCTCTGAGGTCAGCCTCTGGACCAGGTTACTGATCTCCCGGGCATAGTTCTGCTCCAGCTCTGCCTGTTCGCGCTGGGCCCGTCTCTCCTGGTCAGTGCCCCAGCCTGGCCCTCCCAGGCCCCCGGAGCTGCGCTGTAGCTGGGCCTGCAGCTTCTCCACTTCCTCCCTGAGCCTCTTAACCTGCTCCTCCACCTGGGCCTTCTGCTCCTCCAGCTCACTGATCTCCATCTTGAAGCCCTGAGAGATGTCCTTCCTCTCCACCTCCATGTTCCGCCGCATCAGCTCCAGGCTGCGCTCGTAGAAATTCACCTGTGGGGTGAGAATGATGAGGAGGGGGTCAGGGATATCCCAGAATTAGAAAAATGCACCTCACATGTACTGAACTTCATTTTTTACATCTTATTTCACTCAAATTACCTACAATTTCACATAAAAATAGGAGACGATAATCAAAACAATCCAACAATGTGTCACAATGTATCACAATGCCTCCTCTCTACCTTGGTCTCCAACTCAATCTTCAAGTCCTGCACCTCCTGGCTGTGCCTCTCCTTAAGCTGTCCCATGGCCATCTCCGTCTCAATGCTCACAACAGGGCCTGGCAGACTCTCCAGAGAACCCAGGCCTGAGGGAACAGAAACAAAAACACCAAGGTGTGCGAGTCACACCCAACACGCATTTAGAGAAAGAAAAAAAAAAAAAGATTGACATTTCCAATTCTTACCATTCTTATTGGCCACTTGTAGCTTTTTCCTCGCCATGGGAGATATGCCTCTTTTCATCTCAGGGTCATCTGAAGCACAATGGACAAGATTACAGTAAAGAGTAGTTATGCGACTTGTCAGAGTAACTGGAGAGAGACTGAGTAGAGGAATGAGAAGATGTGTGTGAAAGGTATGTGCATATTAGAGAACAACATTTTATAAATGTTCAGGTAACACTTTAGTATACATTATTATACTGTATGTCAAAATAAATAAACTGAACAAAAATATAAACGCAACATGTAAAGTGTTGGTCCCATGTTTCATGAGCTGAAAGAAAGAATCCCAGACATTTTCCATACACACAAAGCTTATTTCTCTCAAATGTTGTGCACAAATGTGTTTACATCTCTGTTAGTGAGCATTTCTCCTTTACCAAGATAATCCATCCAGCTGACAGGTGTGGCATATCAAGAAGCTGATTAAACAGCATGATCATTACATAGGTGCACCTTGTGCTGAGGACAATAAAAGGCCACTTTAAAAATATGCAGTTGTGTCACACAACACAAGTTGTGTCAAGTTGAGGGAGTAACCATAACAGCCCAGGACCTCCACATTCGGCTGCTTCACCTGCGGGATTGTCTGAGGGGGAGTGTGTGTGGGGGGGGGTGGTATTTATGTCTGTAATAAAGCCCTTTTGTGGGGAAAAACACATTATGATTGGCTGGTCCTGGCTGCCAAGTGGGTGGCCTATGCCCTCCAAAGACCACCCATGGCTGCACCCCTGCCCAGTCGTGAAATCCATAGATTAGGGCCTAATTTATTTATTTCAATTGACTGATTTCCTTATATGAACTGTAACTGAAATTGTTGCATGTTGCGTTTATATTTTTGTTCAGTATACATTTCAAAGTAAAAATTGAAAACGACAAAAACAATATTTAAATATGTTCTAAACAGAGCACAAATATAGATTCTAGAGGCAAATCGGGTGAACACAGTTTATAGCTGAGGGGGATTTACCAGAGTCTGACTCAGTAGTCAGTGATCGTCGGCTGGACCACGCGTGTGTGGACGTGTCCCTTTCCTGTCTGGATCTCCTCCCTATCCCCTGACTCTTTAAAACATCCACCTCCGAGTTCAACTCATCATTCCGGTCCCGCAGCTCCTGTTTCACACATACTTGTCATTTAGCAGAGTGGTGATACTTCAGACAAACATAAATAACACACCCAGTAAAACACAGCAGACTTACTATAGAGATAGAGCAACACCAGTCACAATGTACTCACCAACTGCCACGCACATGCTAAATCAAACCACACAGCAACACTAATTCTGTGAACCCAGAATAACACACGCTCACCTTCACTTTCTAGTTTCCCAAAATGGGAGGCATTTGGATAAATCAAGAGGCTTGTCAAGATACACTCAAAACAGATCTCAACTCTGTACAGGCAAGTGGGTGAAAAGTCAGTTTGCCATGAATCATGAATGTTATGTATGCAGTGTATAACCAATTACTATGCTTTGGAAAATTGTGAAAGGTAAACCAGGTCAAGCCTAGTCTGGGTACCAGTCTTTTTAGTTTACAATCCACTCCTTGCCACTCCTGTCATTTGCCAAATTAGTAGAATGTTAGGTAAAAAGACTGGTACGCAGGCTAGGTCAAGCCCCCTCGGGGCTTCCACGCAAGGCAATATTCTTTAAACACACACGCGAGCACACATATACACACACACACTTTCTCTGGCTCCCCCTCTCGCTTACCCGGCACTGCAGCTCGTACTCCTTGATGATCTCAGAGAAGCGCTCCTCCTGGTTAAGCAGTCCCGTGTTGTTCGGATCCAGGCTCCCAAACTGTGTCAGCCAACCAAAACGGAAACCCTCATCAATCATTCATTGGCAAAACTGCATAGCTCACTCCCTGAGGGATGAGTTACCACAGCATGACATCATCACGCCGATCCTCACATAGCTCCCTCTCACCTTGTCTAGTAAGAGCTGGTCCAGGTCTCTCTGCAGTTTAGAGATGGTTTTCTCTGCCTCTGACAGCTTCCCCTTCAGAACACTGCCCTCCTCCTCCAAACGGCTATTCTCCTGTTTGCCCAGAGGGAGGGTTACTTAAGAGTGATACGATAACACATTAAGATATCCACAGCAACACAGTATGATCACTCCACAATAGAGAACAATAGGGGTACTAACGATGGGGGATTGTTAAGAAGCTAAGCAACAGTCTGCCATTGGTTGGTTGTCCGTGGGCGGGTGGTTCTAGTTGGAGTCTGAATAGAGCATGTCTGTGTCTGAAGGTGGATGTTGCAAACAGGAAGGCCAAGACAAAAATCACATGGGCTAATCTAATCCTCTCCTTTGAGTTGTCTAGTCTAGAAATTCCTTGCAGAACATTAACCAGTTTATACTCACACAAAAGTGTATTAAAAAGCTTGAGGAGCCTAATGCAATGCAATCAAATAGAGGTTACGTTCAAGGAATCTTGTAGGAAGGGTGGTCAAGCAATCGCCTGCCTTCTTAGCACTCTTTTGTCATTGTAAAAACCTCATGGTGTAGATCTATAGTGCCAGGCACCTGGGTGGCATTGCAGACTTCCTCGTGCAGACTGGCATCATGTGCCCGTAGGACCTCCACTTCCTCTTTGAGCTTGGCCCGCTCACGCTCCACCTGCTGCAGCAGGACATCGCTCTCCTGCGCAGATTCACTACGCAGGGCCGTAAGCCTATCCCGGAACTCCTGCTCCAGACCCCTGCCAATCAGAGAGAAGTTTAACTAAATGGCCCCTCCTCCGATCATGACTCCGATCATGACAATTCACAACCAGTCAAGCAACATTTTCCAACCACCAGATCAGTCTGTAATCTGTAACGAGAAGGAAGAACAGGTCTTACTTGATTTTGGTTTCATTCAGTGACTCAATGGTGGCGTGCCTGTCATCCACCTCTCTGACCAGCTGGAGGTTCCTCCTGTCGGCCCACTCCAGGTCGGCCTTTACCTTGTCCCTCTCCCGACACGCCTGGTCTGCTAGGACCCTGAGGGACAGACAGTGGACAAACATCTCAGCATGGACCTTTAGCACAACACTCACCTGAAATACCCGATAGCTCAGTACATCATGGAGGACTAACTTTAACAGCAGATATTCTCTATATTATATCTACATTACGCATATAGAATCCAAATAGGCTTACCACGGCAGTTGAATACTGGCAAATTAATACTTAAATGAAAGAATGCTGTATTTTGGTTCCAAAGTTGGTCATTAAATTGACAAAGCAATGATTTTTACAATCAACAATATAAAAGCATCATCACCTCTCGTCTCTAGGTGGAGACATAGTAAAATCAGTTACAACCAAAATCCATTATGCAAGCTATAGGCTACAGTTTCCCTGAACATTAGTGAAGTTGAACCAATGATTCCCCTTAAAGCAATGCCTGACCATGAAATCAAAAAACTGTTGATGTAAATTAATTAAGGGTCATTGGCTCATACAGGAAATGAACCCAGGGGATGCAATAGAGCTGGCCAGCTTGTAGTCCTAAAAAACAGAAATTAGTTACCATTCCTATGGGGTAAATGAATGGGGAAAGAATGGGGTTTTGGGATAAATACAGAAAATAAGGTCTGAGGTTGACACAGGCTTAGAAGATCTTACACGTTCTGTTCTATGAGATATCAGTCAGTTAATGTGACCTTTATGAATTATAAAGCCTTTATGTGCTCATTTTGATTACATAAATGCTTCGAAATTCACAAAAAGTGATCTCAGAACAAAACGTATAAGATCTCCTAAGCCTGTGTTTACCACAGACCTTATTTTTACAATTTATCCAAAAACCCTACAAAAAAAAAACATTAATTTCCCCATATGCTTTGGCCAACGAGCAATGGCGGAGTTAGTGCCTACAAAAAGACACCATTACTATTGCTCTCTATTGAGACTCTTTGGCCATGACCTCTATACGAGAGTCCAATGGAAACATGCAGTACCAAAGTATCAAACCAAAGACTCACTGGAGGAACTGGATCTCGTTCTTGTAGGAGATGAGGGCTGCCTGGTGGATGCCGTTGCCGCTGACCAGCAGCTCATTGTCCAGGGCCAGGGTGAGCTCCGCCAGACTGACCCGCTCCTCCAGGGGGAAGTCCAGAGTCTGGAGGGGACCGAACAGCACGGGTCAATTTATGAAAGTATGGCACTGGTAACTTAATCACCAACCCTGGTCCTGGAGTGCAATTTGGTGTTTTAGTGCAGCCTCCATCCATGGACCAGGTGTTTTGACAACTGGTGTATGGTAAATATAAATTCAGGTCAAAGTTCAGCCCATCCTCATGTTTACCCTCTACTGTAATCAAAATGTTTCAGATTATAAAATGATTATTTCAGTAACACATAATATAAATCAGAGCGTGTCTAGCTAGGGGCTTTTGTAGGCTACGTTACATAGATTATAGGTTCTACACTTAAGCATGTAATCTAAACCAAACAGCTAACTGGAACTCACAATCTCAATTCTACTCCTATTACACATTTCACACACAGGAAGGAGATGCCCCTAGAAACCCTGCAGCCTTTATCCTGTACAAACCACCTAACACCAAAGCTTTTCAGCAACATATCAAGTCAAGCAGCCGTAAAGGCAGAGTAATCAACATTTCAAGGCTACTTCTGAAAATAACTGGCACAAGCAATGAGCATATGTATCCATGACTACAGGACATTCAAATAAAAACAGTAGTTGGATGAACACGTGCATTGGTTCACATTTAGTCCGGGACTAACCTGTAGGATGTCGCTGCTGTTCCGTATGCCCTCCTCGGTCCAGAGGGCGATAACCCTCTCTGGACTGGTGCAGCCCGACCCTTCGTCCAGCCTGGTCAGCAGCCTCTGGCCCACGGTGGCAGACAGGAGAGAGGGAGAGGTGGAGCGCACCAGCCGCTCCTCGAAGGCCTGGGAGAAAACAGAGGAAGACATGAGAGCTACAGGAACAGGCTAGCGGATGGCCCAATTCAGTTCCTCCTCCACAGAACACTGCTACAGACCAGTGGGCACTGTGTAGTACAGACGTGCTGTGTAGCCTCACTGCTGTTCCCAAATGCCATAGAAATACAAAGAAGTCCTTGAGAGGCATGGCATTGTCGCAGGAACACCTCCTTCGGTCATGCAGCTCTCTCCAAGAATAACCTGACATCCTCCACTGTGCATTGTGTAATCCAGGCTCCCACAGACAAAAGAGCTTCAGTGCCACAAATACATTTATTTCACGCGCCACTAATAAAACGCCTTTTTGGTGTCGTAACACTTAATCTGACTTAGCCTACTTTCCATTCCCTATTTGCACATGACATACATCTACCACTACATCCACCAGTTTAGGACATGGAGGAGTGTCAGTAGTATTTAGGTATTGAACAAGCCTTAGAAACACACTGGTGTCTCAGTGCTGGTTCATGAAGCTATCAAACAAAGTGCAAGTGGTTCCTAATACCTGAGAGGCACCAACATGCCCAGCTTTGAAAGAACGGATGTTGTCTTTCATAGCCCATGTTAACAAACCACAGCCAGATTTCAGTCCTGAAATGCAATACATGATTTCTGACCTTGACTTTCTCCTTGTGTGGAAATGGTCATTCTGCAAAGGAATGTAGGAAGGGCAGACTAAGCTCAATTACAGTCAATTACTTGATTGGTAGCTGCCTAAAGTTCCTTAATTGACCAGCAGGAAAATGGTCTGAGAGACAGATAGCCTACTAATTATACTGTAAAAGTTTCTGTGTATAAGTTTGCCTTGTATGTCAGATCCTGAAGGGAAAATGTATAAATCATTAGATCATACAGTATTTTAAATACTTTATTACGTCTTTATCTTAATCCTAAACTATGAGCCACAGAGAATATCTCAATAGGCTCCTTAAACACCAATCAGCCACACATTTAAAGCAAAGTGACAGTTTATTTTGCATAAATATAAATAATATCAAATACTCCTCTTCAGTTAGAGCCAGATGGAGGTCCCACGTGCCAATGTATTGTCATTTGTATTATCCACGGATCATTGTTCTGGCCTAATTAAATGCATTTACTCTACTGACCCAGACCCACTTGCATACATTTCCATATAAATCAATTACTGTTAAACATGTACGCATACCCTAAAAACGGTGTTGTTCTATGTCTGTCTGGTCGGTCTGCTCACCTGCTGGAGTGAGCGCTGGGGGTTGGGGTGTATGGGGGTGGAGGAGGATGTGGGCGCTGGGACACCCCCCTTTCTGAAAATACCCTTCTGGAACTCCCTGAGGCTGACCCTCCCATCCAGGTCAGTGTCCAACCTTCTGAAGAGGGCGTCCAACTCCTGTGTGATAACACGTAGAGTCAGGGGTTAAAAACATGAAGTCAAATTCACACAGATACTGAGAGAGGGATTTAAACAATTCATACATAGGATAACACACCCAATATACAGTATCTTTGGCTTGTAACCACTGACTTCAGTCTGACTACCTGCCCGTCTCCCTGGTGTGCACTCTTACTGCACCTCATGGATTCAAAAGGAATGGACGGATGTACGTACTGATATAAGAAATATGGTGAAAACTCCCTTCAGTGAGCAAGTGCACACTTCCGGGAATTAGGGAATTAAAACACAGCCACAGGCTGGAATGATGGGCTGGCCATACCTCTGGATTCAGGTCCTGCAGGCCAAGGTGATCACAGACCAGGGACAGCTCCTGCCTGTTCAGAAAGCCACCTACTCCGACCCCCAGCTCCTCCCACACCGCCCTCATCCGGCTGTCTGTCACCTCGGCCCGCGGCCCAGGGTAGTGGAGCGTGCACTCTGAACTGTCCCGCTTCCATCGCTTCTGCTGCCCTGAGACATACATACACATGTCAGGATGGAAGTCCCTCAGAGGATATAGCAGTAGACTGTATGAATAGGGCCAGGAGTTTTTCCTGATCACATGACCTAACCAGGAAAAACGACTGACTTGAAGAATGAATGTACAATGAAGTAAATTTAAATACAAATATTTAAATACCTTTAAATACAAATATTTAAATACCTTTAAATACAAATATTTAAGTACCTTGTGCCTCAAAAGTTTGATGTATGGCGTCCTTATGGCTTCCGGTGTCCTCATCCGACTTTAGACTCTGGAAGTAAGACATTGATGAGTGTCACCAAGTGTTCACAACTGAAGAAAAAAAAACTACTTTGCCTAAATACTGACCCGTATGACTGTCCACATACAGTCTCATAATCTGGCTATGTTGTTTAGTCAGTGTGTAGTGTGTGTAGGTCTGTGTGTGAACTGCACTGTGAAAGCTAGTTTACCCTACTACTAGGTGTGTTGTGAGAGTGTGTATAGCAGATGAAGTGTGTGTGTGTGTGTGTGTGTGTGTGTGTGTGTGTATGTATGTATGGAAGTGTGCCTGCGAAGTGTGAAAGAGAGAAATCTGTAAGCGAGTGCTAGCCTATTAGCGATAAGCAATGATAACAGAGAGAGAGAACAATTAACTGATCATAAGGAATTCCACCCCGTCAAGATTACTTCTGCTACACTGATCAAGAACAACCAGCAGATTGTGATTCCAGCAGGCTTAAGAGTAGACTGGACTCCCCAGCAGCATATGGGGCTGTTGGCTCTCACGCAGAGGAACTTGTGTGTGTGTGTGTGTGTGTGTGTGTGTGTGTGTGTGTATACACGTGCTGCAGACTCACTAATTATGGTCTAGGTCTTACATAATACCCTGTCTGAAAAGACCAAGTTTAACTGAAGTTAGTAATGGATTAGTTATGGAAGTTAGTTATTGAGTACTGTAGAGGTAAGTTCCAAAGCACTTTGTTGAATTAAATGCATAACTTCAGTTGATGTAATACAAACTTCCCTAATTATCTAACCAAATTAATCCTGGCAACATCTTAAAAACAGGTAATATATTTGTGGAAGGATTGGCTGCTACTATCTTGGTTCCAAGGTCACATTTTCCCCCTCAAAATCTTTGAAATGTATCATTTTAATCAATCCCATGTGGAAGACGGGTCTATTGATTTCATGGCTTCATTATAAGGAATCAATCTGGGCATGGCCCCAAGCTGCAGCGCCACATCAGAAACAGGCCACTTACGAGACTATACATTTTTATCATCTTACATTTTTGAACAACATTAACTCATCCATGAAAGACTTTTCAAATGGGAACAATGTGTTGGTTTCAGTATTGTCTCCCTCTCTCCCTCATTTTCTCTCTCTAACGAATCCATTTGGTTCTCTCCAACACATGGCAGCTCAGGGAGTTTATTATTGTTGTCATCAGCACCACTTCAGGGTCACAGAGCACCATTGTGCTCCTTACTACAGTGGCCCAAGGCTTAAGAAATGTAAACAAACACTGTACCAACACAAAATGGTGGGCAGTGATGTAGTCAGCTGAGAAGGGTAAGACATGACTAATCCTCTCAACATAAAGGATAAACATTCAAAACCAATCATTTCAGCTGGATGATGAAATCATAATGTTTATGTCTGTATCTCAACAATAGTTTGACGATTCTTGACTACCAGCTGTAACCAGACAAAATGAATTCTCTTTCTGAACAGAGAGAATGTACAGAATTCTCAACAAATTGCATTTGTGAAAGAAAGGTGAGTGGAAACTGATGCTAAATTAAGCATGCCAGCTAAATGGGACACTAATATTAACATGTCCTTGAGAAAGGTTCTTCAGGCATTTAACCCGGACGGCACGCTGCGCTGTAGAAGGATGTGTAGATATAAATGTAGGATGTGTATGAACTAAATAAGTCATATGAAGTGATGTGAAGAGGGATAAGCGTGTGTGAAATATTTAACAGGACCAGTTCAATTATTTACATAACAAGGGGTAGCTGACGGCAACATTCCACCACGATACTTCCATAAAGAATGTGTGTTTCAGCCCAAAAGTGGTAAACGACCTATCAACTCCCCAGCCCCATGAATCCCACCCTCCCCCATTCCAGTCACATAGTTCACCCAGACAACTGTATGTTCCGGTTACCAAGGAGTTGACTGTTACTATGTTCTGCCTGAGTGAACTGCTGTGACCTATCCTGTGTAACCAACACTACGACAGGGATGCCATACAGTAGTTCCCTCTCTATCTTCCAGTAGCAAGAAATCCACCAAGGCTTAAACTGCCGGAAATTTTAACTATTTAAAAATAGATTATTGATGGAGCTTAATGAGAAACATGGCACAGGGATCTATCTGGCACTATGGCCTGACGAGAGAGAGGCTTTGGAAAGACATAATCTCACAAGCTATCAGAGAGTCAGCGCAGCGTTACATAAAAGCTGTAAATATTTCAAACTGAAAAAAGAGAGAAAATCTGGGATAACAGAATGGGTTTCTAAAATGAGCACTGTGTTCACAGGCAGCGGCAGACAGAGGTCAACCATTGCTTTTCAATTATTATGTAGGCTAGTTTATGTATGATAACTCAGATAAATGTGAGAAATGAATAGTCTCATAATCAAAATCTCCTTCCAGACGATTTATGCAACCCTTACTTCAAATTAACCTACTCATTCCAGTCTCAAAACACACACACACACACACACACACACACGGTGGCTGACTGCAAAGTGCACCAAACTTTTCACTCTCAGCAGAGTTTCCCACAGTCTTTAACACTTTTAACACTGACAGATACCCCTGTCAGCCACCACAATGACATTTCCTTCACTAGTTGTCTTCTACTGTTATACAATTTAGAGCCCAAATCAATGGGCCTTCAATAGACATGATGTTTTGAGATAAGCACACAGCATCCCCCAACCATGACTTGTAATAAAATGCAATGAGACTAATGAAACCAATGAAAGACAAAGCCATGGAAGATCAGATCCCTTAAGTACCTGATATATGCACCAAGCCAGCAGCATACCAGAGGATTCCACTCATTCCAATATTATCAGTCTCTGAGTCAGCAGATCAAAAATCACAATATTACACAATGCAGAGAGATGCAATATACAGTATAATCAGATGGTCCAAAGCTCTCCTCCCTTAGGTAGAGGTCTTGACTGGTAGAGAGTTTTTTTATTACAATGTATAATTTATACATTGATGCTTTGGCAATATTTACGCAATGCTTTTCATGCCAATAAAGCAATGAGAGAGAGAGAGAGTGCAAGAGAGAGAGCGCGCCAAAGCTAACACTGAGGGATGGATGGTGTGGGGCGGGAGCAGGGACCATGAGGGCTGCCAGTAGCACATTCCATATAATCCCACTTCCTGAGTGTGGAGTGGTCTGCTCAAAACCCCAAGTACCTCTGAGATTCAACTCTCTCACTCAGATATACAGTGGTCTGAAGAGAAGTATGTTGTGGAAACATAGAAATATGTGGTTGCCAACAAATTGCAGGTCATAGAGATATTTGATCCAGACCTCACTCAGCACCAGCACAATGCACCATTCAAGGGGCACATATGAAGGAAATGGAAGTGAAGCACTGAGTTGGGAAATTCTCTCCAAACAGTCAGATCTAGACTAGGCCCTGTGCCAAGCTTGAGAAGTCAAAAGTCAGCAATCAAAAGTGAGAATCTCATCGACTCTCAAATGAGTGCACAGCCACAGTATAAACAAGGCAGGCAGAGGGTGAGAGGGAGGGAGGAGTAGCACGTCTCTTACCTCCACACTCTCCAGAGAAGTAGAGCGTCTGAGTTTTCCCCTCCTCACGACAGCGGGAGAGGGCTCCTCCTGCTCCGTCCTGAAAGGAGGAGAGCCCTCCAACTCAGCTGTGAGCTCAGAGTCGGGCCTGTCCGGCTGGGACCTCCGGCCGTAGCGCTTCGTTCCCTTCACAAACTTGGGCTTCACTTCCTCAGGAACAACTGGAGCGCCAGGAGAGGAGAGGAAAGAGAGGGTGATTGGGAAGGACAGAGAGAGATTACAGTAGAATGTCTAAAGAATAGGGCTGGGAATTGCCAGGGACCTCATGATACGATATTATTTCAAGTTTTATTGTCACATGCACAAGTACAGTGAAATGCCTTTCTTGCAAGCTCTTTCCCAACGATGCAGTAATCAATATCAGTAGTACTACAAAATTAAATAAAGTAAAGTAGAACAAACACAAAATAAATACAAATAAGAACATGAGAAAGTAAGTGTCACGATCGTCGTAGGGAACAGACCAAGGCGCAGCGTGATGAACGAACATGTTTAAACTTTATTATCTTTAGTGATAATAGACAACAATAAACAAAACAAGAAACGACTCGTGAAGTCCACGGTAACAATGACCAACAAGAACCCACAAACACAAAGGGAAAACAGACAGTTTAAATATGGCTCCCAATCAGAGACAACCAACGACAGCTGACACTCGTTGCCTCTGATTGGGAGTCACTCTAGCCAACATAGAAATAAACACAACTAGAACTACCAACATAGAAATCTAACACATAGAATGAACACACCCTGGCTCAACATATAGAGTCCCAGAGCCAGGGTGTGACAGTAAGTAAGCTATATACAGTACAAAACTACAAAATCCAAGTAAAAACCAAGGCAAACAGCAGTAAGTGTAGTTACTGCATTATGGCTTTGTTCCACCGAGTTTTGACTGCAGTTACCCGCTCTGCCATACAAAAGCAAAGAGCAGTAACTATGTACAGTGAAACTGAGAAAAATGGCTTTAACGTTTATTTGCTGTCCAGCCAAATATGATGTATTATATTATTCTGAATACATTTATGCATATCATGACCACTGATTTGACCTATGACCCCCTCAAGTGAAATAAATGACCATACGAAGTCAAAACAGAAAAACTGGAAAATTGGATAAACACATTTAGACTGTAGATACTGCACAAAGTTACATATTTTTTTCAAGTATAAGAATTCTGCATGATGAAATAGTTCTTACCTTATGGCAAAAAAAATACTTGCGGGTTACTACAATAAAACATTAAAAACATGAAAACATAAAACCATTAAATACAGTAGGAATGTAGCTAGAACTCTCAAACTTTCATTAAACAGAAAAACAACAAGAAAGTTGGATAAACACTTTTAGATACTGCACTTTGCAATACGCATATAGATGTATAAGGTCAAACAAAGGCAGAGTGCAGTATCTGCATTTTTGGGGGGCATAGGTCAAATCAGTGGTCATGGTTGATATGCATGAAATAATTACTCAATAATAACGTTATACGGGGCCTCCCGAGTGGCGCACCGGTATAAGGCACTGCATCGCAGTGCTGAGGCGCCACTACAGCCTAGGGTTCGATCCCAGGCTGTGTCATGGCCGGCCGTGACCAGGAGCCCCATGGCACAGCGCACAATTGGCCCAGCGTCGCCCGGGTTAGGGGAGGGTTTGGCCGGGGGGAGATTTCCTTGGCTCATCGTGCTCTAGCGGCTCCTTGTGGCGGGCCGTGCGCCTGCAAGCTGACTACGGTCATCAGTTGGATGGTGTTTCCTCTGACAAATTGGTGTGGCTGGCTTCCGGGTTAAGCGTGCAGTGTGTCAAGAAGCAGTGCGGCTTGGCAGGGTCATGTTTCGGGGGACGCATGGCTCTCGACCTTCGCCTCTCCCGAATCCGTTGGGGAGTTGCAGCGATGAGACAAGATCGTAACTACCAATTGGATATCACGAAAAATGTTTTTATATAATAACACTATACATCAGTACATTATCTCTTATCTACCTACAACATACTGTATTTGTCTGGCTAGCAAAAAAATATTAAAGCAATTTTTCTCAGTTTCACTGTTGGCGTAGTTACTGCGTTTTGCCTTTGTAAGGCTGTATAGGTGACTAGGCATCAGGATATATGATAAACAAAGTAGCAGCAGCGTATTTGATGATTGTACAGTGCATTCAGAAAGTATTCAGACCGTTGACTTTTTCCACATTTTGTTATATTACAGCCTTATTCTAAAACTGATTAAATTGTTTCCCCCCCCCTCAATCTACACACAATACCCCATAAATGACAAAGCAAAATATCACATTTACATAAGTATTCAGACCCTTTGCTCAGTACTTTGTTGAAGCACCTTTGGCAGTGATTACAGCCTCGAGTCTTCTTGGGTATGTTGCTACAAGCTTGGCACACCTGTATTTGGGGAGTTTCTCCCATTCTTCTCTTCAGATCCTTTCAAGCTCTGTTAGGTTGGATGGGGTGCATCACTGCACAGATATTTTCAGGTCTCTCCAGAGATGTTCAATCGGGTTCAAGTCCAGGCTCTGGCTGGGTCACTCAAGGACATTCAGAGACTTGTCCCGAAGCCACTCCTGTGTTGTCTTGGCTGTGTGCTTAGGGTCGCTGTCCTGTTGGAAGGTGAACCTTTGCCCCAGTCTGAGGCCCTAAGCGCTCTGGAGCAGGTTTTCATCAAGGATCTCTGTACTTTGCTCCATTCATCTTTCCCTTGATCCTGACTAGTCTCCCAGTCCCTGCCACTGAAAAACATCCCCACAGCATGATGCTGCCACCACCATGCTTCACCATAGGGATGGTGCCAGGTTTCCTCCAGATGTGACGCTTGGCATTCAGGCCAAATAGTTAAATCTTGGTTTCATCAGACCAGAGGATCTGGTTTCTCATGGTCTGAGAGTCCTTTAGGTGCCTTTTGGCAACTCCAAGCGGGCTGTCATGTGCCTTTTACTGAGGAGTGGCTTCAGTCTGGCCAATCTACCATAAAGGCCTGATTGGTGGAGTGCAGAAGAGATGGTTGTCCTTCTGGATGGTTCTCCCATCTCCACAGAGCTCTGGAGCTCTGTCAGAGTGACCATTGGGTTCTTGGTCACCTCCCTGACTAAGGTCCTTCTCCCCCGATTGCTCAGTTTGGCAGGGCGGCCAGCTCTAGGAAGAGTCTTGGTGGTTCCAAACTTCTTCTATTTAAGAATGATGGAGGTCACGGTGTTCTTGGGGACCTTCAATGTTGCAGAAATGTTTTGGTATCCTTCCCCAGATCTGTGCCTCGACTCAATCCTGTCTCGGAGCCCTACGGACAATTCCTTGACCTCATGGCTTGGTTTTCGCTCTGACATGCACTGTCAACTGTGGGACCTTATATAGACAGGTGTGTGCCTTTCCAAATAATGTCCAATCAATTGAATTTACCACAGGTGGACTCCAATTCATGTTGTAGAAACATCAAGGATGATCAATGGAAACAGGATGCACCGGAGCTCAATTTCAGAGTCTCATAGCAAAAGGTCTGAATACTTATGTAAATAAGTTATGTTTTTTATTTTTAATACATTTGCAAAAATTTCTGAAAACCTGTTTTCACTGTCATTATGAGGTATTGTGTGTAGATTGATGAGGAAAAAAAACAATTGAATCCATTTTAGAATAAGGCTGGAACGCAACAACATTTGGAAAAAGTCAAGGGGTCTGAATACTTTCCAAATGCACTGTATGAGAGTGTGTGTGCGTAGAGTCAGTAAGAATGTGTGCGTGTTATGTGTGTGTGAGCAAATGTGTGTTGGAGTGTCAGTGTGAATATATGTGAGTGAGTGTGTAGAGTCCTTTGAGTGTGCATAGTCAATTCAAAGATAAAAAATTAAATTAAAAAAAGGGTCAATCCATGAAGCCATTTTGTTAGCTTTTTAGCAGTCTTATGGCTTGGGGATAGAAGCTGTTCAGGAGACTCATGGTGTCAGACTTGTTGCTCCGGTACCACTTGCCATGGAGAAGCAGAGAGAACAGCCTATGGCTTGGGTGGATGGAGCCTTTAACAATTTTCCGGGCCTTCCTTTATATAGAGGTCCTGGATGGCAGGGAGCTCAACCCCAGTGATGTACTGGGCTGTCCGCACAACACTTAGGTGCCGATACGATATGTATTGCGATTCTCACGATTCTATATGTATTGTGATTCGATACAGCGATTTTATTACGATTTAATGTTCCAAACATATTGCTCACTAGATGTCTGCTGCAGAGAGACAAGAGAGAGCATGAGAAAATGTATTTTGATCAGTCATGGAAATAAAAGTGCTGAAAAACATGTTGGCTCACTATTTAAAAAGAAGATGGAGAACAAGCTATAGGATGAAAAATACCGGAGTTTTGGAGCAGGTACAGCCTAACTAAACATTTGTGTGTTGAAAATGCCTAACCACTTGTATAATCTATTTGTATACACTTCAAAACAGACATACCCCACCAGACACGCCACTATGGGTTTCTTCACTGTACCCAAACCAAAAACAGATTTAATGCGTCGATCAGTTATGTATAAAGAGCCATGTCATCGTGGAATGCTCTGCCACAAGAGGTTACTCAGGCAAAAAACAAGTTTAGCTTTAAAAAGAACATTAAAAAAACATATTGTATCACAGCGCCTCTTTCTAAAGATCTAATTTAACTGTATATAAGAATATGAATATGTATAAAAAGTGTGTAAATAGTATGTCTCCTGGTGTCTTTCTAAGACATACATTTTTTAATGATATCTATCCATCTATTCTTTTTATGTCCTTGTCTATAACGGTTCTGTACTATTTGAATGTTTTATGTGGACGCCAGGAAGAGTAGCTGCTGCATGTGCAGTAGCTAATGGAGATCCTAATAAACTAAATGAAACAGCCAACTAGCGCTAGCTAACGCTACCTAGCAAAAAAAAAGTATATATAATTTTTTACAAAATCGATACTTGGAGTCAAAGTATCTATTTAATATTTTCCAGATATAATATCTTCCAAAGATAATATCGCGATATGTAACTGTATCAATTAAAGTAGTATCACTTCTTGTATCAACTGTATCAGTACTAAAGAAAAAACATTTTAGACCAGCTGGGCATTTTGTCTGCCCACAATTACTAATATAAACATATTCTCACAAAAGCTTGTAAATGTTTAGTTACAAAGTAACACGGGAGAAACTATAGTGGAGGCATAGTTAAAAAAGGGCATTTCAAAAGGACAGTGGTCATCAGTTCCCATAAACTAACTTGCCAATAAACTTTATCATACTGTAACATTCTGGGAATGAGGAGGGAACTCTGGTGCCCTCCTAGATCCTCCTACTGCAATCCCCTAAACTCAAGAAACACATTTCAAAATACAAGAACACATACCAATGTGTAGTCAAATCAAGTTCAGAAATCATATAAAATGAATGGCTGTACAATAAATGATATCTTAACTGAGTTTGGATTTGTTAAATGTACAGAAAGTGTTATATATTTTAATCTGTATTTGTTTCAGAATCAAATCCATCCTGGGGCTAATCAGGACAGAGATTATTAACTGGATCAACTGCATTTCCTTAGGGAGGGAAGATACTAAATATAGCCTATCCCTTTGATGCCTCTATTAGTATTGTCATAATTTACTGTAGAAGTCCTCATTCAGGTGATCTCACAGTCAATCCACCCTGGGCAACAAACAACCAGAATATACAAAATGAATTACCACGAGTCTAAATAATGATTTAGATTGCTTTTGATGAGGTCATACTAACTAAGGCAGACTACAATGGCTCCAGCATCAGCGCGTTTTGAAAATGTGAAATGGCCCCAAGGATTGTCGTTATCTTAAATAAAAGCAGACGTTTACCCACAAGGATACAATGTTTACTTAAAACGATCAATCTTATCAGAGTGCAAATTACACCATGACATTCGGGGTGGTCTCTATTGAGTGCACACGCTTGCGTGCACAATTTAATTTTATGGGCCTAATAATAAAGATGTCATTTAAAATGGAAAAAATTAATTACCTTTTCATTTGGTATGAACACAACCACTCATGATATTTTCATCTGATTGTCAAACAAATCACTTCAAACAGTAGGCTGGCTACCTGTGCATGTTCGTCCACTCCAAAATAATTCCAGCATCCAAACTGCATGTAGCCTATACTCGCGCCATTTGATGAATGGAAATAGACAGTTACAAAACACACACAAAAAAGTGGGCCTAATGACATTCAGCGATTGCCATTGATTAGGCCTACATTAATTGACACGTCTTGCTGACAAATTGTAATTTTTTTGTAGCCTGAAAAGCTGGGACACCTGAAATGGGGCTGAAACTGTCCCGGGAAAAAACGGAATGGTCACACACACGCGGTCAACATACTAGACTAGGCTACAATGTCTATTACCATGAACTTCAAATAGGCATTCTGGTAGCCAGTGATGTAGTGGTAAAATAGGTGGGTAAACTCTGATTGCCAGTCATGGTAACGAAAAAGTATCGCTCCCTATACTTTCAATGCATTTTTCTGACAAAACACACATCACGACAAGAGAGACACCACTTGTTAGATGGATTGGATGAACATTGGTGTCTAGCTGTAGGCTAGTTGTCTAGTGATATTGTCAGCCATCATCAGCTGATCCAGGAAAGAAAACAAATATTGATAGAAAATACTAAAGCTAAATACACTGAGTATACCAAATTAAGGAACACCATCCCCTAATATTGAGTTGTTTAAAATGTAGTGGTAAATATATTACGATAGTTACATTTGCATTATTTAGAGACGCTCCAAAGATAGACTTTTGTTGCATTTAGGGGAGCTAACCTCTCATTAAGGGGAGCTGAGCCCCCCCTGGCTCCCCCGTAATTCGCACCTTGAATCTTATGAATAAACCCATCTTATTCACCACATGGGGCCAGTAGACATGGAAAAACAGCAATCTGAACTGCTTGGGTACATAAACAATCAAATCTGTTTGCACAGACATGTAATCAATGAAAGCCAGACGTAAAGCCCCACCTCCCCAGCATGCGTGTTTTACCTGGCTCCAGGTAGCTGCTCTCCTCTTCAGAGGTGCTGAAGTCCAGAGAGCGTGATAGCACAGCTACAAAGCCTTCTTTGAACTCCTCAAAATTCACCTGCATAACAAAAAGGGAAAGTGAATTAATTGTGTACACTATTAGCACATGCCCCGCCCACCTGATGTTCTGTCCCTTTTATCCATCTATTTCCTGTGTTTGAGGGGCATAATCCACTGGTCACTTCAATCTCGCAGGATTGATTGCTTTCATTTTACTCTGGCGGCTCTTGCTTGTTCCATTCGTTTTCCCCGTTAACAAAAACCGCGGAAAATGTTTGTAATGACCTGTCAAACACTCTGGTTATGGCTGAAACGGGCTCAATGGAATACATTGGATTAACGTTGCATCTATTAGAACGCTTTGTCAGTGATTACATCACAAGAAAGAGAATAAATAACTTTATTTTTGTCTGTGTTCATTTTTTGTGCAATTTAAAAATACATTTGACATTTTTGTCATTTAGCAGACGCTCTTATCCAGAGCGACTTACTGGCCCCCCGTGGGAAACGAACCCACAACCCTGGTGTTGCAAGTGCCATGCTCTACCAACTGAGCTACAGGAGGCCTCATTTGAAATGTTTACAAGAGAAACTTCCGAAATTGAACACTGATTATAGTGATATTATGTCTGATCTCGCAAACAATATAGCACATTGGAAAGTATTCAGACCCCTTGACTTTTCCACTTTGTTAAGTTACAGCCTTATTCTAAAATTGATTAAATAAATGAAAATCAATCTACGCACAGTACCCCATAATGACAAAACAAAAATGTATTTATTTTTATTTTAGCAAATGTATTACAAATAAAAAACATAAATACCTTATTTACCTAAGTATTCAGACCCTTTGCTATGAGACTCGAAATTGAGCTCAGGTGCATCCTGTTTCCATTGATCATCCGTGACATGTTTCTACAACTTGACTGGAGTCCACCTGTGGTAAATTCAATTGATTGGACATGATTTGGAAAGGCACACACCTGTCTATATAAGGTCCCACAGTTGACAGTGCATGTCAGAGCAAAAACCAAGCCATGAGGTCAAAGGAATTGTCCGTAGGGCTTCGAGCCGGGATTGTGTCGAGGCAGAGATCTGGGGAAGGGTACCAAAACATTTCTGCAGCATTGAAGGTCCCCAGGAATACAGTGGCCTCCATCATTAACAAATGGAAGAAGTTTGTGGTTCCAAATACTTTTCCTAGAGCTGGCCGCCCGGCCAAACTGAGCAATCGGGGTAGAAGGGCCTTGGTCAGGGAGGTGACCAAGAACCAAATAGGTCACTCTGACAGACTTCTAGAGGTCCTCTGTGGAGATGGGAGAACCTTCCAGAAGGACAACCATCTCTGCAGCACTCCACTAATCAGACCTTTATGGTAGATTGGCCAGACGGAAGCCACTCCTCAGTAAAGCACATGACAGCCCGCTTGGAGTTTGCCAAAAGGCACCTAAAGACTCTCAGACCATGAGAAACAAGATTCTCTGGTCTGATGAAACCAAGATTGAACTCTTTGGCCTGAATGCCAAGCGTCACATCTGGAGGAAACCTGGCACCATCCCTATGGTGAAGCATGGTGGTGGCAGCATCATGCTGTGGGGATGTTTTTCAGTGGCAGGGACTGGGAGACTAGTCAGGATCAAAGGGAAAGATGAATGGAGCAAAGTACAGAGAGATCCTTGATGAAAACCTGCTCCAGAGCGCTTAGGGCCTCAGACTGGGGCAAAGGTTCACCTTCCAACAGGACAGCGACCCTAAGCACACAGCCAAGACAACGCAGGAGTGGCTTCGGGACAAGTCTCTGAATGTCCTTGAGTGGCCCAGCCAGAGCCCGGACTTGAACCTGATCGAACATCTCTGGAGAGACCTGAAAATAGCTGTGCAGCAAATGTCTAAAAACCAGTTTTTGCTTTGTCATTATGGGATAGTGTGTAGATTGATGAGGGGGAAAAAACATATTGGTTTCATCAGACCAGAGAATCTTGTTTCTCATGGTTTGAGAGACCTTTAGGTGCCTTTTGGCTAACTCCAAGCAGGCTGTCATGTGCCTTTTACTGAGGAGTGGCTTCCATCTGGCCATTCTACCATAAAGGTCTGATTGGTGGAGTGCTGCAGAGAGAGTTGTCCTTCTGGAAGGTTCTCCCATCTCCACAGAGGAACTCTGGAGCTCTGTCAGAGAGACCATCGGGCTCTTGGTCACCTCCCTGACCAAAGCCCTTCTCCCCCAATTGCTCAGTTTGGCCGGGCGGCCAGCTCTAGAAAGAGCCTTGGTGATTCCAAACTTCTTCCATTCAAGAATGATGGAGGCCACGGTGTTCTTGGGGACCTTCAATGCTGCAGAAATTTTTTGGTACCCTTCCCCAGATCTGTGCCTCGACACAATCCTGTCTCGGAGCTTTACGGACAATTCCTTTGACCTCATAGATTACTTTTTGCTCTGACACGCACTGTCAACTGTGGGACCGTATAGACAGGTGTGTGCATTTCCAAATCATGTCAAATCAATTGAATTTACCACAGGTGGACTCCAGTCAAGTTGTAAAAACATCTCAAGGATGATCAATGGAAACATGATGCACCTGAGCTCAACTTCGAGTCTCATAGCAAAGGTATGTAAATAAGGTATTTCTGTTTTGTATTTCTAATACATTTGCAAAAATGTCTAAAAACCTGTTTTCGCTTTGTCATTATGGGGTATTGTGTGTTGATTGATGAGTAAAACAATTGCTTAAATCCATTTTAGAATATGGCTGTAACGTAACAAAATGTGGAAAAAGTGAAGGGGTCTGAATACTTTTCGAAGGCACTATGAGTGCATTATAAGAAAAGTGAAATTTTACAGTAAATTGAATACCTGAATTCCCACCAAAATACCTGAACTCCATTCATTATTTGTTTTATGTGCTATAATTCAGTCAATATCTGATTGATTTTAAAAATGCAATACGTTTGGAGTATCTTCATCCATTGTCCAACTAGTGCATTTATTAGAATAGTTTTGTAAACCTTTTAACAATTTCACCATTGTGAGACATGAATACAAAGGGTAACCCAGCTGCGAGCTGCCCAGTGACACGAGCCTACCAGACGGGCTAAATGCCTTTTATGCTTGCTTCAAGGCAAGCAACACTGAAGCATGCATGAGAGCACCAGCTGTTACGGACGACTGTGTGATCATGCTTTCTGTAGCCCATGTGAGCAAGACCTTTAAACAGGTCAACATTCACCGTGGGGCCAGACGGATTACCAGGACATGTACTCAGAGCATGCGTTGACCAACTGGCAAGTGTCTTCACTGACATTTTCAACCTCTCCCTGACCGAGTCTGTAATATCTACATGTTTCAAGCAGACCACCATAGTCCTTGTGCCCAAGAAAGCGAAGGTAACCTGCCTAAATGACTACCGCCCCGTAGCACTCACGTTGGTAGCCATAAAGTGCTTTGAAAGGCTGGTCATGGCTCATATCAAAACTATAATCCCGGAAACCATAAACCCACACCAATTCGCATACCGCCCCAAAAGATCCACAGATGACGCAATCTCCACACTGCCCTTTCCCACCTGGACAAAAGGAACACCTATGTGAGAATGCTGTTCATTGACTACAGCTCAGCGTTCAACACCATAGTGCCCACAAAGCTCATCACTAAGCTAAGGACCCTGGGACTAAACACCTCCCTCTGCAACTGGATCCTGGACTTCCTGACGGGCCGCCCCCAGGTGGTAAGGATAGGCAACAACACATCTGCCACGCTGATCCTCAACACGGGGGGCTCTCAGGGGTGCGTGCTTAGTCCCCTCCTGTACTCCCTGTTCACCCACGACTGCGTGGCCAAGCATGACTCCAACACCATCATTAATATGCTGACGACACAACGGTGGTAGGCCTGATCACCGACAACGATGTGACAGCCTATAGGGAGGAGGTCAGAGACCTGGCAGTGTGGTGCCAGGACAACAACCTCTCCCTCAACGTGAGCAAGACGAAGGAGATGATCGTGGACTACAGTAAAAGGAGTGCTGAACACGCTACCATTCACATCGACGGGCTGTAGTGGAGTGGGTTGAGTGTTTCAAGTTCCTTGGTGTCCACATCAACAACAAACTATCATGGTCCAAACACACCAAGAAAGTTGTGAAGAGGGCACGACAACGCCTTTTCCCCATCAGGAGACTGAAAAGATTTGGCATGGGTCCCCAGATCCTCAAAAAGTTATCAGCTGCACCAATGAGAGCATCCTGACCGGTTGCATCACCGCCTGGTATGGCAACTGCTCGGCATCCGACCGTAAGGCGCTACAGAGGGTAGTGCGTACAGCCCAGTACATCACTGGGGCCAAGCTTCCTGCCATCCAGGACCTCTATACTAGGCGGTATCAGAGGAAAGCCCAAAAAATTGTCAAAGACTCCAGTCACCCAAGTCATAGACCGCTCTCTCTGCTACCGCATGGCAAGTGGTATCGGAGCACCAAGTCTAGGTCCAAAAGGCTCCTTAACAGCTTCTACCCCAAGCCATAAGACTGCTGAACAATTAATCAAATGGCCACATGAACTATTTACATTGACCCCCCCCCCCCCCTTTGTTTTGTTTTTACACTGCTACTACTCACTTTTTATTATCTATGCATAGTCACTTTACCACTACCTACATGTATAAATTACCTCGACTAACCTTTACCCCTGCACATTGACTCGGTACCGGTACCCCCGTATATAGCCTCGTTATTGTTATTGTGTTACTTTTTATTAAATGTTTTACTTTAGTTTATTTAGTAAATATTTTCTTAACTCTATTTCTTGAATTGCATTGTTGGTTAAGATGATTTCATTTATTAGAATTTTAGCAACCAGTAAATAGCGGGGGTGTCTTGTGTGTGTGTGAATTTGAATACAATACAATACAATTTGATTTGACTACTGTGAATAAAAAAGGTAGGAAAGTGTCATAACACAGCTATTACACAACTACTACTCATTTACTACAACATGTCAGAGCTTTACATGTTTTAAAGTAAGGGGAATTTAAGGTAAATCCACAACAGAGAGAGAAGTTACTAAGGTGGTCTGGTCTCATACCCGAGCATAGTGGTGTGGTCCTAGCAAGGTGTCCAACAGTAGGGGAAGGTGAGCATCCAGGGATAGCTTGTGGCAAAGGGCTGACAACTCTTCCTTGTCCAGGTAACCAGTGCCTGTGGTGTCACAGCTGTCAAACTCCTCCTTCAGCTGGGCCACATAGCGGTTCTGCTCTTCCTCATCCATCCCAGTACATATTGCAAGGCTTGCACCTACAGTGAAGTGGGATGGTGGACAGGAAGAGACAGTGGTAAGCACAATAAACTTTCAATCACATATTGCTACAGCTGCACTCTTGCACAATACACACACACACACACACACACACACACAAATGCAACTTCAATTAGTCTTACATCCAGGGTACTCTATACATTGCAATAGACTACTAGGCCTGGACTATGTACAGTGGTAAAATGTTTTATAGTAAGACGGTCCATCTAAATATATTTGCTGCCCTTAGGCTTGGATTTAGTTCCCTTGGGCCTGTGGCTGTAATCCAAGGCCAAAACATCTGCCTCAGTGGTTGCAATGGCCTGCACTGAATTCTGCAGTTGGTCCTGATTGGCATCAATTATGTAAGGCGGGGGAGTTCTGTCATTGTTGTTGTAGTGAGAAATGTATGCAGTATGAAAAATGTATGCACTCACTAACTGTAAGTCGCTCTGGATAAGAGCATCTGCTAAATGACTAAAATGTAAATGTTGTCATCCACCCCTTACCCCCAAAAACAAAAAAGGCAAATTATTTTTACCTGCATATTTTGTTTGGCTTCTATACATACCATTGCAAAAAAAGAAATATATATATAAAACTTGCTATATATATATATATATATATATATATATATACACACATATACATACAGTGGGGAGAACAAGTATTTGATACACTGCCAATTTTGCAGGTTTTCCTACTTACAAAGCATGTAGAGGTCTGCAATTTTTATCATAGGTACACTTCTTCTGTGAGAGACGGAATCTAAAACAAAAATCCAGAAAATCACATTGTATGATTTTTAAGTAATTAATTTGCATTTTATTGCATGACATACGTATTTGATCACCTACCAACCAGTAAGAATTCCGGCTCTCACAGACCTGTTAGTTTTTATTTAAGAAGCCCTCATGTTCTCCACTCATTACCTGTATTAACTGCACACGTTTGAACTCGTTACCTGTATAAAAAACACCTGTCCACACACTCAATCAAACAGACTCCAACCTCTCCACAATGGCCAAGACCAGTGAGCTGTGTAAGGACATCAGGGATAAAATTGTAGACCTGCACAAGGCTGGGATGGGCTACAGGACAATAGGCAAGCAGCTTGGTGAGAAGGCAACAACTGTTGGCACAATTATTAGAAAATGGAAGAAGTTCAAGATGACGGTCAATCACCCTCGGTCTGGGGCTCCATGCAAGATCTCACCTTGTGGGGCATCAGTGATCATGAGGAAGGTGAGGGATCAGCCGATAACTACACGGCAGGACCTGGTCAATGACCTGAAGAAAGCTGGGACCACAGTCTCAAAGAAAACCATTAGTAACACACTACGCCGTCATGGATTAAAATCTTGCAGCGCACGCAAGGTCCCCCTGCTCAAGCCAGCGCATGTCCAGGCCCTTCTGAAGTTTTCCAATGACCATCTGGATGATCCAGAGGAGGAATGGGAGAAGGTCATGTGGTCTGATGAGACAAAAATATAGCTTTTTGGTCTAAACTCCACTCGCCGTGTTTGGAGGAAGAAGAAGGATGAGTACAACCCCAAGAACACCATCCCAACCGTGAAGCATGGAGGTGGAAACATCATTCTTTGGGATGCTTTTCTGCAAAGGGGACAGGACGACTGCACCGTATTGAGGGGAGGATGGATGGGGCCATGTATCGCGAGATCTTGGCCAACAACCTCCTTCCCTCAGTAAGAGCATTGAAGATGGGTCGTGGCTGGGTCTTCCAGCATGACAACAACCCGAAACACACAGCCAGGGCAACTAAGGAGTGGCTCCGTAAGAAGCATCTCAAGGTCCTGGAGTGGCCTAGCCAGTCTCCAGACCTGAACCCAATTGAAAATCTTTGGAGGGAGCTGAAAGTCCGTATTGCCCAGCGACAGCCCCGAAACCTGAAGGATCTGGAGAAGGTCTGTATGGAGGAGTGGGCCAAAATCCCTGCTGCAGTGTGTGCAAACATGGTCAAGACCTACAGGAAACGTATGCTCTCTGTAATTGCAAACAAAGGTTTCTGTACCAAATATTAAGTTCTGCTTTTCTGATGTATCAAATACTTAGGTCATGCAATAAAATGCAAATGAATTACTTAAAAATCATACAATGTGATTTTCTGGATTTTTGTTTTAGATTCCGTCTCTCACAGTTGAAGTGTACCTATGATAAATATTACAGACCTCTACATGCTTGTAAGTAGGAAAACCTGCAAAATCGGCAGTGTATCAAATACTTGTTCTCCCCACTGTGTGTGTGTGTGTGTGTGTGTGTGTGTGTGTGTGTGTGTGTGTGTGTGTGTGTGTGTGTGTATATATATATATATATAGATAGATATATGACTGCCTAGGACCTTGGGGTTTAGTAGCACAAGTAACAGCAGTTTATAAATATCAGGATATTCAGCAATGAATAAACTCTTGCACAAATTGTAAAGGATTGAGGTTGGGTCAACATTTGGCAATGAATAGGCTAGAAGAGAATGCCGTTCATAGACTACAGCTCAGTGTTCAAAAACAGTCCCCTCCAAGCTCATCACCAAGCTCGGGTCCCTGGGACTGAACACCTCCCTCTGCAACTGGATCCTGGACTTCCTGACGGGCCGCCCCCAGCCTTGCCTTATTCACCATAAAGTTTGCTGACAACACAACAGCGGTTAAGAGCATTGGGCCGGTAACCGAAAGATCACTGGTTCGAATCCCAGAGCCAGCAAGGTTAGAAAAAATCTGCCATTCTGCCCTCGAGCAAGGCAGTTAACCCCCAACAACAACAACAACAACAACAACAACTTTGACGTCGTCGGGTGAGGTTGTGTCTCTCTCTGGCGGGAGGTAAGCTTGGCTTATATACATAGTTTGGGCTTTGTTGAGTAAGGCTTAAACTATGTATTTAGATTGTAGTTAGGTATTGTAGGTAGTTATCGTGGGTTGTTGTATGTAATTATTGTAGGTTAGTATTGTATTTGGCTGAGCCCGGTGAAGCACGAAGCTAGCTAACCCACTACCTGGACTAGCTGGCAGGTAGCTACTGGTAACTATTTGCAACTGTGGATAGTTGTTTCACGCCTGAGAGTGCCTGTAATTACGCCAGCTAGCTGCCTACAATAATTACATACAATAATGCCTACCATTCAGCTGTTTTTCTAACCTCATTGTCTGAAGCGTTAACGTTAGGTAGTAAGTGGCTACTGTACTTGAAATTTAGCTAGCTTGTTGCTACCTGGATAGCTACTAAACAATGGCTGGAACGACCTAGCGAACAGACGCGAACTGGCAGAGTCAATTCAGTGGCTAGCTTTGCACTTGGCTAGCTAACAGTAGCTGCTAGGGGTAAGTTATAACCTACATTTGTGTTTTGTTTTTACATACTGGTAGCCAGAGTCGTTCAAGGGAATTCGGGACATGGGTGACTAGTTAACGTTAGCTTGGCTCTCTCTGTGTGTTCGTGCCGTGGGAGGAGGGGTTTCTTCTTTGTCTGAAAGCCATGGCTAGCTAGTATGCTAACTATTCTAGCTAACTAACTGGCTGAATAAGTTGACGACGGACTCGCTCAAGCTGTCGAGACTAACCCACAACGTTAGACACGGACACTAATGATCTGCTTGGCGTGTTGACACTGGTGGTTTGTTGTGGACGAGTATTGGTGCTAAACCGTGTTGTTGGAGTCCGGCATGCTAGTTGGCTGTGGCGTCATATGACTAGGTGCCCTGGACGATTTTCACGGAAGAATACTGTACCAAGTTAGCTAGCTGAATAAACTAAGTTAGTCTATTCCTAGAAAACATTGAACCGCTGTAGTTTACAACAATTATAGTTTCTGAGGTGGAAGTTGGGAGAGTTATATTTGGGTGTTTCAGTGAAACGTAAGTGAGGGAGGCCCCGCTCTCTCCTTTCCCAGATGTTTAGTTCATTTCATTCCGATCTCCTTTGCATTATTGTAGCCATTTTCTGTAGCCTGTCAACTAAGCCTCTGCCTATCCCTGTTCTCTCCTCTCCGCACAGGCTATACAAACGCCTCACACCGCGTGGCTGCTGCCTCTCTAACCTGGTGGTCCCTGCACGCACCACCCACGTGGAGTTCCAGGTCTCAGGCAGCCTCTGGAACTGCCGTTCTGCTGCCAACAAGGCAGAGTTCATCTCAGCCTATGCTACCCTCCAGTCTCGACTTCTTGGCGCTGACGGAAACATGGATTACCACTGAAAACACTGCTACTCCTACTGCTCTCTCCTCGTCTGACCATGTGTTCTCGTATACCCCGAGAGCATCTGGTCAGCGGGGTGGTGGCACAGGAATCCTCATCTCTCCCAAGTGGACATTCTCTCTTTTTCCCCCTGACCCATCTGTCTATCTCCTCATTTGAATTCCATGCTGTCAGTCACTAGCCCATTCAAGCTTAACATCCTTGTCATTTATCGCCCTCCAGGTTCCCTTGACAAGTTCCTTTCCTGAGGATGGCTCACCCCTCACAGTTCTGGGTGACTTCAACCTCCTTATGTCTACCTTTGACTCATTTCTCTCTGCCTCCTTCTTTCCACTACTCTCCTCTTTTGACCTCACCCTCTCACCGTCCCCCCCTACTCACAAGGCAGGCAATACGCTTGACCTCATCTTTACTAGATGCTGTTCTTCTACTAATCTCACTGCAACTCCCCTCCATGTCTCCGACCACTACTTTGTATCCTTTTCTCTCTCGCTCTCCTCCAACACTACTCACTCTGCCCCTACTCAGATGGTAATGCGCTGTCGCAACCTTCGCTCTCTCTCTCCCGCTACTCTCTCCTCTTCCATCCTATCATCTCTTCCCTCTGCTCAATCCTTCTCCCTCCAATCTCCTGATTCTGCCTCCGCAACCCTCCTCTCCTCCCTTTCTGCATCCTTTGACTCTCTATGTCCCCTATCCTCCCGGCCGGCTCGGTCCTCCCCTCCTGCTCCGTGGCTTGATGACTCATTGCGAGCTCACAGAACAG